ACAAAGGATGGGGAAACTTATGAGGTGGCTCTTGGAAAAGTCCAGGATGAGGCAGTAAAGGTGAGTATTATATGGGCCGGGGATTTAGCTCAGTAGTTCCGGCGCCTGCCTCACAAGTGCCAAGGTCCCGAGTTCAATCCCCGGTACCAAAAAAAAAAAAAGATGAGTATTATAAAAGTGACTAAAAGGAAAGAGAAAGATAGCCACAAGAAACATGACAATCAAGAGACGCATTAACTAGAAAATGTAAAGGGTGTGATAAAAACAGAAAGCAAAGATAATGCCACCTGGCACAAATTAAAATAGGCAACCTTGGGTTTTCTCCCCACTAGACAGTGCAAGGTTATGCCTCCCCACCCTCCATTTCGTGTGACACAGGAGATCTGAAGACACCCAAGTTAACACTGCCAATCTAGATAGAGGAGGGGCATGAGCCACCCCTATCCAGATTAAAAAGTCCCAAGCATTACAGATGTGGCTTCTTCATCACCTTTTAGAAGTAACAAAATCTGAGAAAAATCACTTGGCTCTGAAGCACTTGGTTTGTTACATATACATTTATACAAATAGATTATTTGTATTAACACATACATGTTAATGAAGAAAAATGAATAATTTTCATATGACAAGTCATGTTAAACTCTGCTCACATGGGGATCTCTGAAATACTATAATTATTTTCAAATTCTTTTGGGGGGGGTCCTGGCTGGTTGATTTTGTAGTTATTGTTTGTTTTAGAGATGAGGTCTTGCTATGTTGCCCAGATTGGTTTCTACTCCCTGCCTCAGCCTTCTGAGTACCTGGGGCACAAGGATCACTCAAGCCCAGGAGTTCGAGACCAGCCTGTGGAACACAGAGAGATCCTATCACCTTTAAAAAAAGAAAAAGGTTAGTTTTTGTAAAATTTATCCACTATTCAACCTGCACATCACTTATTAACTTATTTAGAACACAAAAAAATCTCTCTTACTCCTATGAGCTGAGTGGGCTTTTATTACAAGCATGAGGTTGGGCCACATGTCACTTTGAATTTTGTAGCACATTTCTTTCATCAAATTTTGATGCTAGAAGTTCTAAGTCTTAGGCTACAGGACAGAACAGCTGCAGTTTAAAGTAAGAGTTCTACAACTCCTCTAGCTTCCAGAACCAACCAAATCAACGATTTGCTTGTACTACTAGGTCCCTGGGCAAAGGGAGTTAAGTTCCTGACAATGAAATAATCATGTTAGTATACCATGAATATTGCAATAAAATTTCATCTTTCACCAAGAACTGCAACACCCAAATTCAGCAAAAAGCCAAAACATCCGAAGTCAGATGGCTGTGAGATTGCAGGAGCTCTGTGTGATGTCCTTAGCTGTGTTTTCACTCACCGTATCTGTAATGTTACGGTGTAACAGAGACCCAAGGTCCTACTTTATCAGTGTGTCCTTTCCAGCTGCTCAAGCTACCCCTCCTTCCCTAGTCTCCCGTACTTTCTAACTCTGCCTGATAAATCTTCCTATGCCTCACACTGACATGTCCTGAAATTCTTTTTCCATGATGAGAGTTAATACACCTATTCCTCAGGGCACAGTAAGGTGCCCAACTCCTCTCTGGGGACTTCCTCAGACCCTGTGTGGTGACGATAACACTCACATAGAAGCCACTCATAAAAATTACTGAATAAGGCAATGAGTGACTCTAACTTGCTGACACTGCACAAGCGGTAAAGCACTTCCTTAAAAATCTATGATATGTGCCCGGCAATGGTGGTGTGCACCTGTAATCCTCAGGAAGCGGAGGCAGGAGGATTGCCATTGAGTTCAAGGCCAGCCCGGGCTACATAGTGAGTTTGAGGCCAGATTGAACTACATAGTGAGACACTGTGTCAAAAAAAACCCCATAACACAAAATCTACGAAATGAAGATAGATGTTTTGATACTTTTTTAAAACAGTAGAAACTATACTTTTGATAATGATATGTCAGTTCTTTTTTATATAAGAAAGAAGAGCAATGCTTCATACTAAGCTATAACTTAGCAAAGTTCTTCCTGGATCTGAAAAAGCTTACCAGCCCTAGACAAGTCTCATTTGTACATGTCTACGTTAACAAATATAACAGACATTTTAGTTCCTTATGAGGTTTCTGTGAAAATTATTTCATTGCATGTGATGAATCTAACTGTGTAAACTAACACAACAAAATGAGTGCTTTGACTGGACTGGGCAGGTTATCAAAACCAAGTTCCCCTAGAACCACAGCTGAGCAATGAAGAAGTGGCAAGAAAATGAAAGTAGAGATCACAAAATGGGAAAACCTGGCAAAGAAAGAACATCCCCAGGTGTTCTACCACAAACACAGTGGTAGAGAAAGCTCTAAGCAAAGCTCTAAGTATCTGTGGGTGCAGAAAGACAACCCAGGAGGACTAACGGACCACACAGCAGCGTCTGGAGGGGTGGAGGCCACGGGCTTGGGTGCCTTAGTGGTTCCCGAAGGCACGAAAAGTCCTAGTCAGACCTATTATCTAGTTACTAAGAAATTATACTCACAAAAGGAGGAAAGAATGAAACATATTTCAGAAACAATTCTATTAGCCAAGCGTGACAGCTGAGAGCCCTCAAAAGATCAAGAACTTCATCTGGTTGCTCAGTATATTCTTAGCACCAGACAGGGAAGACTCTTGATAAAATTTTACTAAAATCACAAAACACAAAAATGTTTGGATTAAAAAGATATATTTTTACTTAAATTTAAAAAAATTTTGTTAGAGTCTAATTTTAAAAAATCTAAAATTAGGGGTTGGGGATGTAGTACAGTGGTAGAGAACTCGCCTGGCATATACAAGGCCCTCAGTCTGAGTGCCAGTACCAAAAACTGGAAAAAAAAAATTACATGTTTTCACTTACAAGCAAACCCATTATTACTTGCATATTTTATTTAACCCAAAACCTCATTCTTAAGGTAATATATTAAGGAAGTAGTAAGCATTAGTGATTTTTAGTTCTGAAACTTTAAAAACTATTTTGCTGGGCTGGGATGTAGTTCCACAGTAGTATTTTCTTAGTATGTGTATGGCTCTGGGCTCAGTCCCCAGTGCCACAAAAAACAAAAGCTCTTTTGCTGCCAAAGTTAGGCAGATTTTATTAAATCTCAGAATAGAGGACGGGATAAATATGCAGAAAGTAGATGTTTAATAATCTATTAAGTATTATGATAGGAAAGTAAATTAGTTTTGTTATTCATGTGTAGCTTTGATGGTTCCTGAAACAGACAAACTTAAAAGACCAATAGACTTTGAGAATGGGAACCATTTAGGTATTAATTTCACAGAAAACTTTAAGCTTTAAATGCATATAATTTCACAGGTAACTGCTACTAGTAGGAAAACAGACAACTATATGAGTTTGAGGAAGGAATAGTCCATTTAGTTATAGACCACAGCATTAACAGTTTGATAACTTCCTGAGTCAGAGATCTTGTTAAAATAAGCAAGAAGATGAACACTGGCTCTAGCGCTTTTCTGTTAGCTCTAAATCTTTTAAGCTGGTTCTAAAACTGTTTTTAAAACTGTGATATGTACATATAGCTCGCCATTTTATAACTGGATTTTATAGCTTGGTGGTAGAGTGCTTCCCATTATGTATGTGAAGTCCTGGGTTCAATCCCCAGCACCAGGGGGAGCAGGATTTTTCTATATCCAAAATACTGTGCAACCATCACCACCATCTATTTCCAAACTCCATAATCATCCTAAACAGAAACTCAGTTCCCATTAAGCAACACTGAAAATTTTATTAAGAAGCAAAATCATAGTCTGTAAAGAAGCAGTTATAAATAAAAGTTGAGCAGTCTGATTAAATTAAACAGGAGAAAAAATACTGGGCCAAAGTGCTTCACTATCCTATCTAGCTGTGGTTAAAAAAACTTCATACTTGGGCCAGGGATTTAGCTCAGTGGTTCCGGCGCCTGCCTCAAAAGCGCAAGGTCCTGAGTTCAATCCCCGGTACCAAAAAAACAAAACAAAACAAAAAAAACTCATACTTTAAAGGAAGCTAGTAATATAAGAGTTAAAATTATCTCAGAGCTTTTCGCAGAGTTCATTTCTCATATATTTTGTTATCTGCTGTTGCATTTTCCCCAAATTTATTAGTTTTTTTAAATGATAATGCTGAGTTGGAATTCAATGATTAAAAATGGGATTTAAAAAGAAAAACAAAACAAAACAAAACAAACAAACAAGTGCAAAGGCAAAGAAAAAGAAAGGTAGCTAGTACCCTGTCAGAGAATGAGTCAGGGTTAGAGAAGTAAAAAGTAACTCCAGGAGACTAAGTGGTGGGATCAATACTGTAATTAAAGCAATCTGCTTCTGCTCTTCCCACCACACTGTGGTGAGGGGTACAGCCTGGGTATGGCCTTTATCACTTTCTTATTCTATTATCAGACAGAGGACATTTTTATATTTCTTATTTTACAACTTAACAGCTTAAAAATTCATCTAATGCATCCCTATCTAATTATATTTTAAAATAATTCCATTACAGTTAGATGATTTTAGAGAATTTTTTAAATATTCTAACAATAGGAAGATACAGTGAATACATACTGTATTTTATCTCATAGATGTATGAGAAGAAAAATAAGAAAAAGATGTATGAGATGTATAAGATGTATGAGAAGAAAAATAATTTATTAGAATGTGACTAATCTTGTCTTCATCATATTTCCTGGGAATATCAAATAAAAGTTTCAGGACTATTAAAAACATGATTTCATAATAACGCATACTATATCTAGAGGCATGTGATTATATCTTCTTGAAGTATAAACATAATGATTAAGTCATTTTACTCATACATGTAAATAAATAAAACTAGTAATGATTAAAAATTTATATTAACTAGAATTTTTACCTCATGTTTGAAGCCAGGGAAAATTCAGGAAAAAGGCAATATTTTGTAAATATAATAATTGTTAAAATTTCATTTTACTTTAAATTCTACTTTATCTCTAACTTACCTCTGCAATTTCTATCCTTTTGGCAAGATCATCAAGAGAAAGACAGCTATCATCAGAAGGCAGGCTCTCCTGTAGGCTATAGGATGCTTCTTCAGGAGAAAGACCTTGAAGGAGATCAGAATCATCGTCTTGATTATCTTCATAGGAAAGAGAATCTTCAGTATCTTTCAAGCATTCTTCCAAAAGGCTATTCAAATAGTCTTCTGTTTCCTTATTGATTTGATCTTCCTTATCTCCCTTTTCCTCTGGGGCCATATACACTTCTGGATGGAGTGCACTTAAGTCAGATATTTTATTATTTTCAAAAAGTACATCCTCAGAGCCAGTCTCTGAGTCAGTCTGACCCTGTGGCGATTTTCCATCACTGTCTGTTAGATCAGGCTGCTGCAGCACATTTAATTCATTGTTCTCAGGTTGGTCCGTGGGCAACGCCTCAAAAGCATCCTGAAGTGGCAAATGAAGTTCTTTCCTTTGAGTCTGTGAATACCGACCCTCAGAAATCAACACAGGAGGTATTCGGTCACAGCCTGGTAGGATCAATGGCTCTATCACTGACTCACTAGAGGGTACCACTTTAGGGTGGTCAGCAATGGCCTCTACTGTGGCCACATCTGGGCAGTCCTCTGTGGGAGCCTCCTGTAAGCGGCTAATGTCCTCACAAGCATTCTCAACAGAGTCTGGGCCTGACCTGCTCCCGGCTGACTCTGAGGACTGGTTGTGGAGCTCCAGTGTGGCTCTGGCGCTGCAGAGTGGCTCCTCCGTGTGGTCCTTCCCTGCAGTGACTGGGAGGCTCAGGAAATCTGCCTGCCTGTCCATTCGACTGCAGCCGGCACTGCTCTCCTGGGGCTCCTCTTTATGCTGGCTTTCTATACTTGGTTCCAGGCCAAGATAAGTTCCACTCTCTAAAGATGAAGAAAAATAAGCTGTTTTAAAATTCCAAACAATGCTTTGTAGAGAAGGGAAGAGAAGAAAGGTATGATATTGTAATATGTGCAACACAATATTCTAGCCCTGTAAATAGAAATTCTGTCTGTTGCATGTTAGCACTCTTAGGTATTCACTAGATACCTGAAATACTTAGTAAATAATCCTTTACATGTAAAAATTAACAGGTTATTGAAAAGGTTGTTATCATGAGTAAATAACTGAGTATTATATTTGAATGTAATTTTTCAAAGGTTTGAAAGGTGTTTGAACATTTTTTTTGTTTTTGTTTTAATTTTTTTTTTTTTGGTACTAGGGATCGAACTCTGGTCCTTGCGCTTGCGAGGCAGGCGCCGGAACCACTGAGCTAAATTCCCGGCCCCGTATTTGAACATTTTGGCCTTTTACATTTAAATTAATATATCTACTGGCCTTTTGATTTAAATTAAGTTGGAAAAGTTATTTTCATTATATTTAAGACATGGCATAGGCCAGGCCAGTGGTGCATGCCTGCAATCACAGCTACTCAGAAGAGGCAGGAGATCTCAAGTTTGAGGCTAGCTTGAGTAACTTAACAAGATCTTATCCCAAAATAAAAAAATAAAAAAGGGCCAGAAATAGAGAGCTCAATGTAAAGGTCCTGGGTTCAATCCCCAGTACTGAGAAAAAACAGCAGCAGCAGGAACAACAACAACAACAACAAAACACATGGCATAATAAGTAGATATTTCTACAGGAGTAATAAATTTACATTCAAAATGTAAGGAAATATGGGTCTGAGAGGCTGGGGATGAAGCTCAGTGGTAGAGTATTTCCTAGCATGTGTGGGGCCTGGAGTTCGATCCTTAGCACCACACATACACACACACACAATAGTAGTCTGGTCTACTAACACTAAAGGGACACTAGTCTGTTCTGTTCAAATTTGAAGATATGTGTTCACTTTGGCAGCAACAGCTACTACAACAGGAATGGCACAAGATTAGCATGTTCCCTGCACAAGGATGACATGCAAATTAATGAAATGTCCCACATTATACATGTACCAACTCCCCAGGAGGAATGTAATCATATGTACTACAAACATGCATAATAAAAAACAAAAACTGAGGGCCAGGGATGTAGCTCAGTGGCACTGTACCTGCCTCGCAAGCGCAAGGTCATGAGTTTGATCCCTGGTAACCCCAAAATAAAAAATTTAAAAAAAAACAGACCTGAAAAAGACTATAATCTCATCACTCGGGAGGCTGAGGCAGCAGGACTGCCATGAATTTGAGCCCAGCCTGGCCTCCATAGTGAGTTCAAAGCAAGCCTGGACTACATAGCAAGACCTTGTGTCCAAAAAACTAACAACCCCAAAACAAAACAGAAAACCTGCAAAACAAATTTGAACATAATACCCTTAATAAAAGTTTTCAAATTACTGGAAACATCTTAAAGCAAGGCAGCAAAGAATAGCAACAAAAAGAATAAGTTTTGGCAAGCCACAGAAATGGGTTTGGATTTTGATTTCAATTTAACTGAAATAAAATTAACTTACAATATTATTTTTTACTTTAAAACTACACAGTTAAAAATCTTCATACAAGCAGGGCATGGTGGCACATGCTTGTAACCCCAGCAATTGGGAGGCTGAGGCAGGAAGATCACTGTGAGTTCGAGGCCAGCCTGAACTACAATAGTCAGCTCAAGATCAGCCTGAACTGCCTAGTGAGACCCTGTCTAACAAAAACAAACAAACAATCTTCATGTAAATAATGAATGAAAATTGCAGTGATTGGCAGGTAACAGAGTATGCAGCTTGCTCATCCTCAGTTTAATGGTATATCTTATCTAGTTAGTTTTAACTTTTTAATGGGCATATTGTTTAATTTAGAAAAATGGGCCAGGCCAAGGATTTAGCTCAGTGGTTCTGCCCTTTGTCTTGCAAGCACAAGGACCTGAGTTTGATCCCCGATACCAAAAAAAAAAGTGCCAATGGTAAAGAAAAATACAATAATAATTTTATTCTATTTTTAATAATTGCTAACTGATAATTGTGGCCTCAATCATACCAAAGAAAAGGCATTTCTTAAAAACAATCTTCAGACTTCAAAGAATCAGGGACTGAGGCTGATACCTTCAACTCTGGAATACTGTTCAGTAGAGTTCACAGTATCTCCTCTCCACCTGACTCAAGCATCAAATGAGGATCAAGAGAAAGAAGAAGAGGCTGCCTTCTGGGAAAATTCTGCATCCCTTCTCTCCCCAACCAAAAGAATCATTCAAAGTTCAGGAGACTACAACAAAAAACACACAGACATTTCATTCCCCATAGGTTGTTTGCTTTGCCACTGAGCTTGCTGGCCTGCTCCTTAGATCGAGAGCTAGAGTAAGGAGGACCATGGAAAAGGGGCCAAGCCTCTGTTCAACAAGTTTCTAGTATCCAAAGTGTGCCAATTAACCTTCATTGACAACTTGACTCTTAGAGAGGTGACTGGGACAAAGGGCCATTATATTCCACTTATATTCCTAGCTGCAGATGCTGTTAGGACATGGAGCCATCAGGAGGAGCTGGGTCACTGGAGGTATGCTGTTGCTCCCCTGCTCTGCATCCCAGCCCCCATAAAGTAAGCAGTTTTGCTCCACCACGTCCTTCCACCACGATGTTCCTGCCTTGGAGCCAGCTGACCATGGACTGGAACCTCTGAAACCATAAGCCTAATAAATCTTTCCTCCTTTAAGTTGTATCTGTCAGGCATTTAGTTCCAGCAATGGGAAAGCTGACCAATACACAAAGATTCAGAAGATGGCTCTCAAAACACATCTGTAGAAATCAAGAGTTTAAATACGACTAAGAACCATATTCCCCAGGGACTGTTAAAGCTTAGGGCAGAAAGACCTTTACATCAGAGGAATGGGGTTTGCCAACTTCCAGCTGAGGACCATAAATACCATGCGAAAAAGTTTCTGGTTGGCTTGTCCAGTTGGAGCTGCCACACCTAGCCCACAGAACAACCTGGTTTCAGTTGTAAGCACTCATCTAGTGAGCTCAAACTGCAGCACATTATGTTCCCAGGCCCTGGCAGCTGGAAAGCAAAGAGCTTGGAATAAAATGAGATTTAGGTTTTCAAATGAAGTTTGGAGCTGAAGAGCACTAAGTCCTGAAGAATCAAAATAAGACTAATATCTAGCAGTGACTGAAAAGTTACAGAATCCCCTGGTACCAAAAAAAAAGAAAGTTACAGAATCACTCTGAGAAGCCATTATATGAATAGGAAGTGAAGTGATTGACTTTAGTGATCAGAAAAAATCCACCATTTTTGCAACAGTGGAACAAGCCTATAATCCCAGTTACCTGGGGGGTTGAAGCAGGAGGACTGAAAATTTGAGGTCACCCTGGGTAACCCAGCAAGATTCTGTCTCAAAACAAAAGTTTTTTTTTAAAAAGGTTAGGGATGTGGCTCGGAAGTAAAGTACTTGTCTAGCATGTGCAAGGCCCTGGGTTTAATCCCTAGCACAAAGAAGGAAGAAAAGGAGGGAGGGAGTGAAGGAGGGAAGGAGGGAAGGAGGGAGGGAGGGAGGGAGGCAGGGAG